TAACTTGATCTTTGTATACTTGAAGTTTGTATGAATAGGGTTAGGGTACTGTTACAGATGAGTGTAACGACCATTGCCTGCCGAGGCAATATTCGTGCTGAATGTGGGCAGTGCCAACTGTGACGCACACAGAAAGCTAGCTTGCTAGCTAATGTTAGCTATCTTGCTGATAAATACGGTAAAGTATGATGTTATTGGTCCATTTCCATTTTCATCAGCTTATCCAGGCCAACCAAAGTACCCCAGATACCCCTCTCCCCAGCAACACTTTCCAGCTCCTCCTGGGGGACCCTAAGGTGTTCCCAGGCCAGATGAGATATGTAATCCCTCCAGCATGTTCTCGGTCTACCCCAGGGCCTCCAGTTGGACGTGCCTGAAACACCCCCAGCAGGAGGCATCCTGATCAGACGCCCAAACCACCTCAACTGACCCTTTCAACATGAAGGAGCAGCGGCTCTACTCCGAGTTCCCTACAGATGGCAGAGCTCCTTATCCTATCTCTAAGGTTGAGCCCAGCCAGGAGACTCATTGCAGCCGCTTGTATCCGCGATCTCACTCATTCAGTCACTACCCAGAGCCCATGACCATAGATGACGGTTGTGATGTTATTGGTACATTTACCATTTTCTTACATTCCATGTCTGTCTCCTGACTCTCATCTCAGGCCAGGCAGCATCTCTCATGTGGGGCAGTATTTTTCATGGCCAATATCATATTGGCTGGTTAAACAAGGCAACAATCAAAGTCTCCTCCACACAGACTCTGTTGTTAGTGGTTGAGGTTGCGACGTCGCCGGTCAAAGCTCACCAAAGTTGAACTCCAGGCAATGTAAAGGTGCAAAATTGCTTTGCCAGCAGAGGTGAATGTTTAAATCTCACTTTTGCTCCATGCTTTGCTCTCACTGAAAGGAAATGCATGGGAGGTGACTATTCACTTGGGTTTATTTCGCTCATGTGACTGTACTTTTAAAGTTATAGCAAAGGAGACTGCAGCTCCACCTATCTCATTTCTTTTTGTGGAACATTTCTGTGACAGAGACCTATAAAAAGCTCTTACATTAATGAAAAAGTCAACCTACGAGATTGATCTCCTCTGCGTTGAAGTCTTCAGACAGGAAGGCCGTCCGAGTGAGAACTTCATTGCGTTTGTTCTCTGGGATCTGGTCAAACTTTGTGCCAATCAACAGCAAAGGCACTGGGTTCTCAGCAAACTGCTCTCTGTCATAGTCACTGCTGTGAGAGAGAAGAATATAACTCAACTCCCCAGCATTTTCAGTCACAATTTAATATCTGATTTGAATTGAAACATTTATTGAAAACAATACCACAACATGTATCTACTTACCCGTTGGAAACAATAACTCCTGTTGGAGAAGAATCCCTGTTTAAAGCTTCTAGTGACCAGCGGTAAAGGTTCTGAGAGGACTTCTTATTTGTTAAATCGTGTACCAACATAATTCCTGGGAAAAAAAAAACAGAATATGACACAACTAAATAATAAAAACCCTAATGATTTTATATTTCTTTAAATCATTATATAAAATCATCTCTACCATTAACCGAATTGTAGAAGACAGCTCTGGTGCTTTTGATGCTGCTGGCACTGCCAACAGATCCTCCGACATCCCAGAGTTCTATGTAGTAGGTTTTCTCCTCCGGGGTTCCCTCCTTATAGTCTTGGACCTGTAGTTGAATAGATATTATCATGACCCTTCCATTATTTTAGTCCTCTAAGCATCTCTAACATATGAGGGCTCTGCTAATTTTTATCTAACATGAATGTTCTGATTCATCAATGGAGGAAGGTAACTCAGTACATTTACTCAAATACTGTACTTAAGTACATATTTGAGGTACTTTCACTTTACTCAAGTGTTTCAGTTTTCTTGCTCATACTTCTACTTCAGATTAGATTAATACAACAAAATACAAACATAAAAAAAGGCTTGTATCTATATAAGAATTACAATATGTGACTTTGACTTGTAGTTGAGTATTTATGCATTGTAAAGTACTGCTATTTTTAAAAGATCTGAATACTACTTCCACCACTGTGAATCACATAATTATATATAGGACTATTGGAATATTCAGCATATGGTTTCCAGTCAGTCAGCCTTTTACATATTTTCTTATTTAAAAGCTTGTTGTATTAAGTATAGGTTAATTCAAAAGGCAATGACATGATGTAATAATAATAATAATGATGAAGCATGATGTAATGATTTAAAATCAATAAAAGCCCATATGTCATAATTAGCATAATGCAAGAAAACCATGTGCACACAAAATAATAACAATTTTGTGCATAACATTATAAGTAATTACATCATATAGTGTAAGACTTTTTTTAAAAGAGTATTCTCCTTTAAAGCATTGGGTCACTTGCAATTTTACATGACACACAGGGAGTCCTTCATTTAAAACAACTGTACTTTGTTTGGTCTAAAGGACATTTCATCAATAGGTTCAAAACTGATACATCCTCTTAGATGTGTGACAAAATACAAGATGTCCACTGACTTGGACAAATGAGAACCGTTACAGAGATGATGTTGAACTTACAACACTGGGTGATTCTTAGTATGTGAAATAATTGTTCCATACATAACAATTCCAGTTCCTTTGGATGTTAGTATATGCAAACAACGAATAATATTAGATAACAATCGACAAAACTGTGTTTTTCTCTTTGGCCACTAGATGGCTTCTTTCAGTAGTTGTGATGTATTTCATCTTGCACAAGAGAAGTTTCCTTGGGGCATTTTGCCAGAAATCAACATTAGCCCCTGAGCAGTTGAAGGCTAATTTAATATGTTGACTTAAAAGTGTTTTATTACAGGCAGCTTGTAAGATATGCGTTTGTGAGAGACGTTGGTGATGTTAGGTAGTAATACCTTCTAATAGAAAGGGTAGTGCATTAATCAGTGGAAGCTAATAATATCAACTGTATTTCTTGCAGAAGGATTAGTGCTGTTATCACTGGTAGCTAATAATAAAAAGTATCTTTCTGCCTGAATCATTAAAGCACTCATCACAGAAAGCATTCAACCGTGCCTCTGCCAGAAATATTATTGCAGTTTTCACAAGAAGCTTTATCAATGAATTATCTCCCAGCCGGAAAGATTAGCGCACTGGCAGCTCTGGCATTAATCTGAACTATATTTCTGCTAGACAGTTGTTTCAGTTATCAGTGGTTACTAAAGGGTAATATGACATATTTTAATAATTCAGATATGTTCTTCCTGTGTCCCAGGAAATTTCAGTTGGTATTTGCAAATGTACACCACTCTTTCCTCCTTAAGCCAGAAATCAGAGAAAGAAACCCCCAATAACTGCCGAACACTAACAAATGGACTAGCCTTTCTGATAGAAATACGTTGTTGTTATTATTCGCTACCAATGATAAATGCATTAGCATGTTTTATCTCACTAGCTGTCAATGATAAAACACTTAAATTAGTGAGTAAATTTGCCTTCAACTGCTAAAGGGCTAATGTTGATTTTTGTCAGAAACAACAGTTTCTTGTAGTTGTTAATTTTGTCACACATCCAAGAGGCTTCACTTATTTGAGACTGATAATGAAAATGTTGAATGTTTGTAGACCAAACAAACTCAAATTGCTTGAAATGAAGGACTCTACTTGTGTTTTGTAAAACTACAAGTGTTCCTAAACTTTAAGAAGACAAGAGGAGGACTCTTTTAAAATCAATACACTTTGCACTGAATTTAAATTAGTCCGCTTTTTTCTGTCTTAGTTTACTATGTAATAATTCTCTAATATTGTATTATCTTTTTTACATACTATAATAATTAGGCATAAAACTGTTTTTACATTATGCACTCATGGTTTTCTTACATTATGTGCTGATGATTACATTATGAGCTTTAAACTATTACATTACACACAGGTATTATGGGTTGCTACAGGCCAGCAGTGTCATTTTAGACCACATCTCAATGAAATGTTGTGGATTAGGTGTTTACTTACCCGTACATCCACAGAGCAGCCAACAGTCCACGATGGATTTCCTAACACCTGATTCTGACAGAGCAGATGGACCAAGGAAGACTTACCCACCCCTGCAAAAGATAAGATATGTGGGTGAATGACTGGTAGTTTTGATAGGATCAGTTTCAACTCTATAGGCAAGCAATAGGCACAAGGAGACGCATTTTGTACGGCTGATCATAATATGTGGCTTTAATTCTTGATATAATGCTGATCCCAAGACAATACAAACGTGGTTCACTTTTATATAGGAACAAGCCTCCATTGAAAAAACATGTCAGTGTAGCATATCCTTTATTTCCGTCAAATCATATACCTTGTAGACTATCAATAAACATATCTGACGAACTGTTGGGTGTCACCTTTTAGTTCGGCAAACATGTTTCTATGGATAGTCAACTTTTGGTGCTGATCTATACGAAGCAGTCTTTCTATACGCAAATGCACCACTTAGGTCGGCAATAGCCAGTGTAAATACATTATAACGTGCAGTTATTGCTTTTTAATTAAGCCTAAAATTGCTGGTCCACCTTTATCCCGACTTCACCAATAGACACAACAATTATACTGCGTCAGATATGAAGGTTTACAGAGCCACTACAACAGACTTTGACAAGACTTTGGCGTCCCCTCATTTGAGATAGGGGTTGATAACCGGTTGATATTAACTCAGAATAAACAAATGTATGTACAAACAAGTAGACACGTTTACGTAAGAGTCTGACTGTGACTTAAAATGGTATTTAACTTACCGGAATCGCCTAAAACTAATACTTTTACCCTGTCAAGAGAAGCCATTTTTTGCAACAGTGGCGTCCCGGAAGTAAACAGTGGATATCCCGCCTGCGAATATTATTTGTTTAATTTGATTGGTTTAAAAAAAAGTGAAAACAAAGGAAGCAGAGCCATTCGTCAAAATGCATGTCAATCAAAATCTCTTTGCTGCTATTGGCTATTGAGAAACCCTTTTGTTGCGGCGTTGGATTTATTTCCGGGGTTGTCTTCTCAAAATATAAAGCATGTTAGCTAACCTAGCAGTTTAAAAATTCGGAAGTAAAATGTGTCCAGTGAGCTTTAGCTGTCTTTGTTAGAGAAAAATCATTGTGCTCTGAAATGACTTAAGGAAGCGGTGGCTTTGGCGTATTGTTGGAGCGTAACGTTAAAGAGTATCGGGTAAGGTTGGCGTTAACTGGCTAACGGTTTTTCGTAAACTAACTTTACGCTGGCTGCAACGCTAAGTTTAGTTAGGTCAACATAATGTAACACCGGCTAGCTAAATGTAAAGATAACGTTACATAATTGGCCATTGGTAAAGCGACTATAACGTTACTAGTATTCTCGCCATAAGTTACCGCTTGCTGCATTATGTAGTGTTATATGTCTTTGTTCGAGATAGCTAGCTAACGTTAAGCTACTTAAGTGAAGATGTCAGGTCTGGTAGTATTAACCACCACTCAGTATATGTTGGCTCAGGGTATAATTAAAAAGATGTCCACCACCTTAGCAGAGGTATTGTCAAAGTATCTTTTAAGGATTATGCGTTTTTTTTTCTGATTTTAGTTTTACTGGGATAGTGCACAGTGATAAACAGTGCTGTAAATATGTCAGTGTTAGCCAAAAGCTAATTTTTAACTGTTGTCCCTGGGCAAGGTGTTAAAATAGCCACTCAATCAGAATGACATAAATGCAGACAACTGAAAGCATGAATGACAGCATGAATATAGAATCAGTCAAATAGTTAGTTTGCAAGTTAAAGGTGCATGAAGCAGACAATTCTACATGACAGAACATAACCTATTAGCAAGACACAGGTATTATCAGACAGGAAACAGTTATACTTAGCAAGACAGATGCATTAGCAAACAACACACAGTCAAATCTATGATGCGCAATTCTACATACAGGTATTAGAGCGAAGACTGTGTAAACCTGTCACACACAGATAGTTAGCCAGACAGTGAAGGCATGTGGAGACTATGTATGATGACACCTGGTTGCTTATGAGCAGGATTTTAAGATGGTGTGCAAAGGAGCAGTATGTGGTTTTACATCTTATATGTACTGGAAGAGTGCTCGAGATCTGGGAGGCTCTCACTGTAAAAGCTAACTGGCTGAATCCTCCATGGGGCAGTAGGGAGCATGCTTAGGCAGTGTAAGGACAATAGGGTTTGATATCTATAACTTTAAGAGCCTGTTTGAATACAGACTATATCAGTTTCAGGATTGTATCACTGGTCTGAGACCAAGTAGTTAAACAGTATGTAATATGTGGAAGAATCATGGCATTGAAGTACATTTTCACAGCTTCAGGGAAAGGATCAATTAAAGAGAAAGGAATGTTATTTGAAAAACATGATCTTCTCACCTTCTCAAGCGTTAAGTGATTAAGGTTACCTACCAACTGATTGCTGCTTAACAAAGTCTCTAGCACTCTCCCCCTGCCCTGGTCCCCTAAAGTTCCTGCCTGCTCTCTCAGATATTTGCTCAACAGGTGTCATCTCTCTCCACAGCAGAAGATGATAGAACCAGAGCTACTGACCGAGGTCCCTGCAGCACTTAAGCGGCTCGCGAAGCAGGTCGTAAGGGGTTTCTATGGAGTGGAACATGCCTTGGCCCTGGATGTGCTCATTCGCAACCCATGTGTACGTGAGGAGGACATGCTGGAGCTGCTCAAGTTTGATCGTAAACAGTTGCGCTCTGTACTCAACACCCTGAAGGCAGACAAGTTTGTCAAGTGCCGCATGAGAGTGGAAACAGCCCCTGATGGCAAGACAACACGGCACAACTACTACTTCATCAACTACAGGTGGCTATTTTCTTCATAGTTGGCATTGCTACAGTGCAGATAACAGACACAACAACTTCCCATCAGTAAGAGGGGAAGTTTTGAGATAGTTGTAAGTTTGGCGGAAATTAAGTCAGAAATCGATATCTTTCTGACCTCATGCCCTTCGACTTGAACACATTTTTTTCTACACGTTAAACTATATGAGAGAGTGTTAGAACATGGTTTGATGAACCAAAGTGACCAACCATTCAGGAGACAGGGGCCCTCCAAATTGACCTATATTGGACCACCACTCCATCTAAAGACACAGATATCTTCTTCATAAATAAACACAACCATGTTCTCCTTTTTTAATGACATAGAGTAGGAACTTATTTACATCTCCTGAAGTGTAATGTTATACCTGCTAGGCCAGTAACTCAAACACACCAGTCCTTAATGCTGTCTATGATTTTCTGTCTCACCCAAGACATGACTTCAGTTCCCCTTTTGTTTATCATAACATGACTGAAAAACAGAAAATTTAAATTACATAATAAAGAAGCCTAAGTCAGCAAAAATGTGTAGTGCAAAGTCATGAAGGTGAGAAGAGAGTTACTTTTTATTTTGAAGCCACTGATCAAGGGCTTATGTTGCTGTGCTCATCTCATTTAACACGGTTAACTTGTAGGGAAAAAAATGTTCAATGGTTCAATTTGTTCAAGAGGGACGAGGTTAGAAAGTAACTGATTTCTGACAAAATGCCCCATGGGTGGCATCAGGCACTCACCCACCAAGTATTGCCATTGTCAGTGTCTAATATCAGAACTTTAAGAAAAATTTAAGACTTCTGCCATGACATGTACCAGCACATTAAGTGCTAAAACATGAGAAACTACTCTTTATATTACATAAACGTGATGGCTGATAGGTGCCACACACTCATTTTTCATATAGAGTAGACAGCCTTTTTTTTCCTTTGTTTCACATCAAAAACTCGTCATCCTCCTATGTCAACATGTCATTTACAATTAAAACTTTACCCACCTGGTTTGTTTAGGGTACTGGTCAACGTGGTCAAGTATAAATTGGATCATATGCGGCGACGCATCGAGACAGATGAGCGAGACTCCACCAACCGTGCCTCCTTCCGGTGCCCCTGCTGCTTCTCCACCTTCACCGACCTAGAGGCCAACCAGCTGTTTGACCCCATGACAGGTAAACAATGACATCAATATGCTTGAATATGAGAAAGTATTGTCAGTTATGTGAAAATTTTAGTGAAATTGATTGCAGTGATGATACCATTATGCAGCCAGGAAGAAAATCAATTTAATATGAATCAAAGAACATGAAAATGTGGTCTCAAGATTGTCAAGTATTTCAATACTAACATCATTTGCACAAGATGAGGTATAGGGCTGTCAGAATGAACTTCGCTATTTGAAAACAATTTGAAATTGTAAAAATAAGCATATTCGAAGTTGGAAACTAAGGTTCGAATATTTTGGGGGGGGGGGGGGACAGCACTCTACCGTGCATTATGTTTATGTTTTACGTTTTTACGTTTTTTGGGGAAATACATGACTGTCAGAGAAGCCCCGTTTACAGACAGACCTACAATCCCTCTCGCTCTTCTCAGCGAAGGGTGCCCTGTCAGCCCTGCACTGACAGTGACAGGGCACATCTCTTTGATCCGAAGTGACACAGCCCGTTTGCTCATGCTTCAGGGTCGTTCAATAGAGTAATTGCAAATAAATATTGTTTTAATGTGTAACTATTGAAATGTTCACAAGGGCTTTCATAAATTCCTACAATGTTGCAGCACTGCTGCCTTTGCAGGTAAAAAGTTAATAACAGTGACTTGATGCAAAATATTAAAATAACGTCATTATAACACAAAAAAATATAAAAATGCGGTGGTAGGCCTAGGCTATAGCCAATACCAAGGAAAAATTTGAATATTATCTGAATTTTTAACATAAAAAACTTTAAAAATTCGAATCTGATTTTGGGGGAAGATTGACAGCCCTAATGAGGTATAGGATACTTGAGTTTGGTTAAACAAAAAAATCAGAGGAGAAGGTGCCCAGGACCTATTTGTGTTCGTTATGATAAAACAATTTGCATATTATCAACAAGAAGAAAAAAATAGATTTCCAAAAAGAATAAGAGGCAGGAAAAAATATTAAATTCAATCTATCTATCAATTCAATGACACTTATATCAATATGTGATAAGTAATCCAGTTAATATATTTGCTAATGTGGCTATATAGCCCAGATTAAACAGAGGAATTGAACAAACGTTTTGTTAGTTGAGTTTTGGACACAGGAGAATTTCTTAGGTTTTCCGTTGTCTTAGGTACAATGGAATGCCTCCATGTAACCCAAAATCAAGGTTGTTTGAAATGACTTGCCATCACAACAAAAGGCCTAAAGTAAAATCTGATTTTCGTTCTGCCTCAATATGGGCTGGCAGCTGTCCAAGTCCTTGCTTCTAAATGGGCATCACATCGCTTACTTATCACTAGGAGCCATCCATTGTGTCGTGCTTGTGCATGCGTTTGGCATGTGAGTAAGAGAAGCAACCAGCAAGGCAGAGTGTGGGCGGGTGTATGCAGAATTCAGAGGGAAGATAAAACTAAATCACTATGGCATTAGGGTAGACAGACGTGTGCTCGGTTTTGAAGTCATAGGTTGATTGACGTAACCAAGGCATGACTGACTCACTCAAGTCATCAGTACTTCCTCAGTTGAATGGGAATCAGATAGGCCCACTGAAATGTACAAGGTTTGGATTTAATTGTCAGCAAGTCGTCTGGTGGCTTTGTGTTGTTTGCAAAAAATGTGTGAAAATGTGGAGTTAAATTGAATGTAATGCTGCAGAAGAATATTGTGCTTACAATGAGGACTGTGTGTGTTCCATACCACTTCCTCTGATCTGTATTCATTCACAAACTGCATTCATTCTTGAGTCTGTCAGAACGAGGCACCACGCTTATATTGTCTGCCAATCCAAAGGTTGATTACCTGTCAACCAACACTGTTGCTAGGAGACACAGAGAGCTTGTGCTACATAAGCATTTAAAACACACCACCAGGCTGAAAAGCAGTGTTTTTCTGTCCACGCTGGTAGAGATTTCAAGCCTCTGATTGGATCTCTGACCACACCTAAGATCACTCATGTTATGTGGTTGGTGGACCCAGTGACAACAGTGATGTCACCGGGTCTTATGATTAACTGCAGCCTAGTGAAAAGTTAGACCACTGGAGGTCAGCAACGACAGGATTTTCAGGGGGTGTTAAGTTACTCTTTAACTTTAAATGTAAATGGGAGAATTGTGGTTAACAATTGAACCCATTTTCATTCAGATATCTTAAAGTGAGAGTTCAAGGGACCCCTGTGAAAATGGCCATGCCAGTTTATCCAAAACCTAGCCAAACTTTGGAGCGTTATTTAACCACCTTGCTGACGAGCAAGCATGGCATGGTTGGTACCGACCACTACAGCCTATAAAAGACAGTAAGGTCGTCCAAAATGCCACCATAGTTTCCTGAGGAGCCCAGATTTAAGGTTTATCAATAAGTAAGAAGTTGTGGAGGAAAGCTGCTCATTGGCTCCAAATGCCATAAAGTAGAAGAATATAATGGACCTCCCAGATATGTAGACAACACGCTAAAGTCTGACTGACAGACTAGAAACTTAAGTTTGTGGGCAGATCCACAGGGAATATCAGATATTATCAGTCTTAAATATTATAGCCCAAAATGCAACAAAAAACTAATTTGAGGAAAAAAAACGCACAATAACACTACACTGGATAAATACTTTTGATAGCGAGTATAAATTACATGCTGGAAAAATCAGCATTCCCAGCTTCCTGGTACTGTTCTGAAACCTGAAGCATCTCCCTTGTGGCACATTTAATTTGAAATTGAATTCCTCTGCACTTTTGTCTTATTTTAAAATACCTCAACTGGTATTAGATCTTGCTGTGAGGCAGCAACCCTGCACCCTGACAGGGGCTGACAAAAAGTATACCTGAAGCTCACATAATGGTAGTCTGACAGACTGGTTGCTTCTTCAGGGCCAGCAACACTCAGTTTGACCTCACAGCGATGGGAAATGACATTACTGCTCTCCCAGCTCATTCTGACCCGCAAAGGAGAGCTGAAAACCCTCTAGCTCTGAGCTTTTCACACTTTGCTGTGTGAATGTACCCTCGTCTCTGTAGGACATGCATGTTGTTTTTTTTTTTCCTCATTCTACCTGACATGTAGGTCCACCCCAGCTGGCTGAAAAAAATAATTGCTTTTTAGTTTTACATAAAATGTAGATTTTTTTAACCATTTCTTCTGTGATCAGTTAGCACTCTCTAAGGGTTGTTTCAGACTTTTTTGATATAGAGCGCCAAAGGGAACATTTGTCCTGTCTCAAACCTGTGCAGACACTGCCATGCCTTCCTTAATACTAGGTGAAGTAATCCTGTTTATATTCTTTCATTCATTGTATAGAGAGCAACATTCGCATCAGTTTGCACTGATCATGGCTTTGTTAGATGTGTGTTACTGAAAGAGAAGATAGCTAAGACTTTTTTCCACCTTGATCCATGTTGTTTGCTTTCAACGATTTCTCCGGCATCAGAATCTTTGAATTCACTTCTAGAAAGTAATTATATTGTTTCCAGCAAGTTAGGTTTTTTTTATATAGATGCTGTAAATGTCCTTAAATGACATAGGCATAGTGCATTTCAGACTTCTCTGTCCCCCCACCCCCAAGCATACACAAACACATTTTCTTTTTCACACACAGACACAAGGCAGACATGGGGTCTGTGTAATACTGGAACAGTTCCCATTATTGAAATCAGCCAGAGAAGCAGATGGCCAACTATGCCCTTTTCTTACTGGTAGGAAGCGGGGTGTGTGTGTGTGTGTGTATGTGTGTGTGTGCAGTGCGCACGAGGTCTGAAAGCCCTCTCAAATACCATGCAATGCAAAAATTATCATCAGAAAAGATTGGCCTGCAGTGTCATAAACAACAAGGCATTGTTATTTTTGGGTTGACTTGCACTTCTTAGCTAAATATTGAATGATAAGGGAAAGTGAAGTTTCACAGGTTTGGTCACAAATCCACAATTTGATCATAAAAGTGGACATATATAGTAGCCTATATAAAACCCCATGTGTGCCATGTGTGATATATACAGTACATCTAAAAATTAAAGGCCACACACAGTGAGGAAGTAGTCATTACTACCTCTTTATCTGTGGAGTCATGCCATTGTGTTCACTTTAATGTGACGAAAACCACAGCACATTTCCAGCTATGCCATTCTATGCAAGTAGATTTTGCTAAGCTGGTTTATAGCCTGGGCTAAAAGCAAAGGCGATGCCTAATATGGCCAAAAATGTGGGTTTGTTCTTCAGCCAGGTAAGTTACAAGAACATCCTAGCTTACTTGTTTTAAACATAGTTTTTTCTTAACCCAAAGGTACATTTCGATGCACCTTCTGCCAAACAGAGGTAGAAGAGGATGCATCTGTCTGTCCTGATGGCAGGACACTAGTCGCTCGCTTTAATGAGCAGATCGAACCCATCTATGCACTGCTTCGTGAGACTGAAGACGTTAACCTGTCCCATGACCTGCTGGAGCCGGAGCCTGCTGAGATTCCTGCCCTCAAACAGAGGTCAGCTTATAACAAACCTCACAGACTACTTACTACTTCTAAATACTTATTCCCCTCAGTCAGCATCACACCAGTCCTCAAGAGTCACATCCTGGAGCAGTTTCACCGACAACAAATAGGAGTTCACCTCTGTTAACTCTAATAATGGCCTCAGTGATACTGGCTCAACTTAATAAGTGTTTGTGCCACAATGGAATTCTTTTCTATTAAGCCACAGCAGTGGAACATTTTTAGCTTGAATGCGTTACACACTCTCAATTTTTCATGTTTACACATATAATTAAATGGTTGTAGATCATTGTTTAAAGGATATTTACTGAATCTCTCCACCAGCCGTGAACGTGCTGCAGCAGCAAACTCAAGTGGCCCACACCGCGAAGCCTGGGCTAACAAAGGCTCATCCTACGCTGACCTGTACACCCAGAATGTGGTTATCAGCATGGAGGAGCAGGAAGACCAGCAGAAGCAGGCCAGTGAAGGCAAGGCACCCAAAGAGAGGCCCGTCTGGTTGACCCAGAGCACTGTGCAGGGTGCTTACAGCGAGCCTGACATCCTCAAAAACCGTAAGTGAGGTTTTCTTGTAAAACACCCCGTCATCAGACAGTTTTTTTTAGATGACAGTCTAATTTTGTGACTTAAGAAACTATGAACTAATGCGAAGTAATGCCACACTGGTGCAGTTTTTTTTCCACCTCAAGCAAATTCTTTCTGCCATAATTACGAGATCTCCCACCCCACTGGAAGACGTTTAATTCAACATTAATTTCCCTCCCACCCTCAGATGCTGTTTTCACTGTCATTAATCTTAAATGTTATTGCCTGTCCTTGGTGAGGCTTACTAAATAAACGGGGTTTTCCATTAGTAAGATGATGATCAGAATGGACAGAGACCAGCCCAAGCTAGACCCACACCTTTTCATGACCTTAAATTCCAATCCCTTTTCTCTTTGTGGTCAAAACAGGTAATCTCTTTCTGTCACCAAGCTATCTGATGTTGACATTGTTTCCCCACCCAAGGGCGTGCAGCAATCAGGCCTGGCCAGACTCCCATTGAATCATAATTGCTTAATTGAAATAATCAGGGGCTTGATTAGTGCATGGCTGAGCATGGATTGCTCATTAATAAAATCCATTCCTGAGGAATTTGCATGAGTTATGCTTTCCGAATGACCTGTCTCTAAGGTGTGTCTCTGCACATCTGTCTGTAATGATCTTGTCGCCCTTTGGGGCCTGTAAACAGACATGATATCCAAAGGTAAAGGTTTTTATTTTTATTTGAGTAGGACACCAACAGGTAGAATGTGTTTTACATTTTACACTGTGTTTCTAATCCACACAGCACAGTAGTCCTTTTTCACTGAAAACATTTTGACTTGTCACAGAAGGAACAACACAGGTGTTAATAATGACATTGATGACTTCATTTAGCTGCTTTGATTTCAGGATCCTTGAGTCTTGCATGCTTGCTCACTGTCACTCTCACTGGAGCACTTGAATCAAACAGAGCCATTGTCAGTGTTTTTTTTGTAACGCCTGTGCTTTTCTTACCATGACAAGTCAAAACTTCTGCTGTGAGAAACGCCAATGCCCAAGTAGGCATTAGCCACCTAGGGCTTGATCTCTAGGGCTGTATCCGATTCAGAATTATGACAGTCGAATCAGATTTGGCTGTTCAGTATGAATATTTGACTGTTTGTTGCTATCCTAAGAGTTTGAACAGGGTTCAGCGGGACATTCAGTGTGACAGAGACATTCACATAGTTTAGTAAACAACCTGACTAAGCTAAGGATGAATTGGAAATGTGCAACCACATTTATGTTAATACTCGATATCAAACAAAAGCCAGAGACTGTATTGTATGAAGTTGCGATGAGCTGTAAATTCACCTCCTCTAAACAGAAAACAGAAGATAACATTATTTCAGAGCCTTACAAGGTAAGACCTCTCTTCCTGCAGGCAGCTGCCTCTGTGTCCGCAGCTGCCTATACCCTAGAGTAGCATGAATGTAGACTTCTCACTCTGCAGCAAAATCTGGGGACCAAAACATAAAACCCTAAAATGTTTGTACTTCATCTAGACAACATAGAGAGGTCTGTGATTTATTTGTTTTTTTACAAAGAATGTTTGTTCCATAAGTGACAAACGAATGTTTAGTTATGCCTTTATTTCCATTGACTGCTATAGTTAACACGAGGATAGAATTCAAAGTATAATTCAGTTTTTCAGATAATTCTAAAATTCACCACACTACTTCAACCATGACATGAAAATTTTCTCTTTTCATAAATGTTGGACATTAATTTAATAAGAATTTGCAGTAGCTGTTTACAGTGCTGTTTACACAAAACATTTTGATGCATTGTGGGCTTATTTTTTTATGTTAAAAATCTGGCTGGATTGTTTGTGGAGGACAGTGTGAAGATGCTATGTAGCAAATTTGGTATTGAGCAAAAATTGTAGAAGGAGTTTTTTTTTTTTTTTTTTTTTTTTAAAAGTTTTAATGAGGCTCACAGTTTGATGGCCTTTATAATTTCTGCTAAGTGTAGAAATTTGTGGCTACATCTTGGTGAAAGTTGCAAAGTTGTAGCACGCATGACTGATTTGTTATGAATTCTCAAAGTTTTAAACTTCAAAAGAGAAGATGGAGAAAAAGAAGAAGCAAGAGCAGTTGTAGTTTGGCGACAACAAAAAGGTTAAAAACAAGAGAGACCGGTAGCAGAGCTGCCCGGCCCCTGACAACGGTCTGATGCTCTTTTACCAAAAATCTGTTCTCAAAGGGTTGATAAATTCAGTCCATCTTGAGTCTCAAAGTAGATGAAAATTTTTCTATCACAGAATTTTCCCTACAGCACATCAAATCAGTCTGCCAATGTTGGTAGTAGAAAATCTTAGAAGCTGTTGTGGCATCCTGAAGACCTGAAAACAAAAATCAATCATAATTTTTGGAACTTTTTCCCCACTCTCACAAATTGTCTCTCAATAATGGTAAATCCCAGAGCATTCCCAAAACACATGATATAATTTGCTTCTCCGTCCCACAGCCCCTCCAATACATGGTTTAATTAAAGTTTTTGTTCAAGAACTGAGCTGCAGTAAGTAATGCTTGATGAGACTGTAAGATAGGAGCCTAAACACACCATCATAGGCATCTCGTTCCAGGGATTATTTATAAATGCTTAGAAATAGTTTTAAATGTGGCAAAGCTCCAGAAGAAAGAAAGTTCAAAATGTTGTTCTAGTAGAAGTTAGAAGAAAGAATGATTTCAGAAGTGAATATATTTCAAATTTTAATGAGTTTTGTTATGTTTCCACAGGTGATGTTGTTCCTGGAGCCCAGGATGGAGCGGCTGGTCAGGGAATTGGTCAGGCGGATGAAAATGAGGAAGTGATGCGTGCCCTGCTCATACATGAGAAGAGGAGTGTGGCAGGAGCAGGAGGAGGCGGAGCAAGCGCTGCCACCAAAGCGATCACCTCCACCACAGTAAATGCCAGCGACTCCGAGAGTGACACCAGCGAATCGGATGACGACTCTCCCTCCAATCCTCCCCTTGCCACAGCTGCACAGCATCGGGCCGCCGAGGAGGAGGATGAAGAGGACGATGATGAGTTTGAGGAGGTGGGGGATGAGCCGATGGTGATGGTGGGAGGCCGGCAGTTCTCATACCGAGAGGTCAGCCAGAGGCCAGAGCTGGTGGAGCAGATGTCCGCCCAGGAGAAGGAGGCCTACATTGAAATGGGACAAACCCTCTTCCAGGACATGTACTTCTGAACACACACATACACACTCACACTGATATATGCAGACATTTACACACAGATTATCAAACAATTTGGTGGATTGGCTAGGATCTCCCTAAAGTATACTTCTGCTCTGTTAAACTGACAATGGTGACACCTGAGAAAATGTTTGTAGAACCAACAAGATGCTGCTTAAGAAGTATTTACAGTCAGCTTCATGCTCTTGCATTATGAGAATCAAGGGCATGCTGACAGTGTTGCCTAAGTGATCACACCTTTAGTATTCTGTCCAAAGTATTTTTTATTCTCAGTCACCAAGCCAGAAGAGGAAGAGTGCCAATTTGTTTCTTCTTAGTCTCTGTTTTTTATTTTAGTTTAACCGGTTGTTTCCACCAGTCATGTTTATAGCTGTGTTTTCCAGTCATGTGTCTCTCATGTGTCTGATGGACCAGATACACTTAAGATACCATCAATACAGCTGTCTACACACCAGCATATGTTTTATGCCTCCAGTCAGTTTTCGTCCGACTCATGTATAACTACATCGATTGTGCATTTGACTGTGAGCACTTCCAAAAGACGTGGCAGCACCGAAGGACTGAAGCTGCCATCATTGTGCTCCTGACATGCTGCTTTCTCCCTGGTGTTGTGCCGAATATTTTGTTTTTCTAAAGCAAGATCGGACTGGATTTAAAAGCTCATCTCAGGCAAATGTTGAATACTAGAGGGAAAAAAGAGAAAATGGATGAACTGTTGTGGTTTACAGTAAAATATGTCTTTTTCTTAACAATCTGTAATAAAAAAATATACCGCAGTTCAGCAATATGTGTTTATGCGTGTACATAGAGGGATGAATGGAAGCATTGTGTGTCAGCATATACACTTCGGAGCAATTCAGAGTATAGAAGTAAGGGGGCACTGTGACATTTGTCTTCTCAGATGGAGGATGAGACAAGTCCAGTCTGAACTGTCAATGTGTTAGTTTATTCTGTTATCAGGGATGGTGCAGCATAATACAAAGATAGATTATAAACATGTTCATGTGTGAAAGCTTGATGTCAAGAGAAATGGAGGGAAAAAATCCCCAAACAGAGAAAGATTAATAGGCTTTGGGAAAAATAACATGTATTTCATACCATTCCACTCCATGGTCCTGTCCCCCAGTGAGACCATCCCTGTCTTGTCGGGTCACATTCAGGTGACAATTATTCATTGAGGCAGTCCCTACTGGGCAAACACACTCTTGGTACTTCTCCAGATGGGCTCCAGCAGGATCTAGGGTATTTTGTTATGTGGCTTACCAAATAATGACTGCTTTGACGTAACCACAGTAACCCACGGCACTGGGTCACCTACTCATAATGGGGGCAATTTCACCTCAAAGCCAAAGACTGAGTGTAGACGTGGGCCTGGCATTTACAGAAAACAAGCTTTTTCAAATCAAATGTTAATTGTTAAACCTGTCATGGTGCCCGCTGTAGTGAAATCACCCCTCTCTCTGCTTTCTCTTTGAGCAGTATGTACCAGATTTAAAAGGAAAACCATTGGCTGTAACCATTGTACATGACTTTTTGCAGCTCTAGTGTAGGGGTGTGCCATGTCATCTTGTTCACGATAATACTGGTATGATTTTTAATATGATATGAAAAATTCATATTGTGATACGCACAATGTTTCTAATTGTTCACATATTGACATACTGTTGCCTATGGCCATAAAAAGCATGGCTTAATGCGAAATTATTACAGACTTTGTGGTGGTTCCAAAACGAGGAGCATCTTCAGTAGTGTGGAATAAACTGTGGGGTCATTAGGCCTGGGTGTCCTGAATGAACAGCCCTGGACTTCTCCGATTGTTTTACTGCTCGGAGGGAACTCATTCAGCGGCTCCTCTGGCAGCAGCACAGCATCTCTCCCTCTTCTAAGTGTCAGTGTGGAGTCAGTGTCGTCAAGTGATTTTGTCATAAACCTATGTGACGCTTACTATTTGACAAAAAACTACATATGTGTGAATGTGCAATAGTTATGGTAGCATAACAGCCTGTCACAGGTTACAGCGTGATGATAAGAGGAGAAATGACAGAGCATAGAGGTCCAGGAAGAAAAAAAACCCTCAATCATTCAGGATTATGCTAAAAGAAGGAAATCACCTGTTGATTTAGATCCCAGGGTACATTTTTTGTATTTGGGAGCTGTTTAAATGTGTAATTTGTGGTAGATTTTATTTTGTTTACCTTTTCATATTGTATATAGAATCTAAATCTCACTCTCACTCATCTTGTCACTTTTGTTTACAACCTAAAGAAATGAGAGATCATTTTTCTTTAGTTTTTACTGAATATCTGAAGGCAAACATGTAAAACTATATCACTTTTTTTGCAAGTATATGTTCCTAAATTAATGGTAATTTTTTTATTATTATTATTATTATTATTTTTTTTTTTTTACTAATTTGTCATATCATCAAGAATATTGTTAAAACACCCTGAAATATCATATTATTTTAGAGCCATATCACCCACCACTACTCTAGAGTGTGATTTTATTCTATTCTAAATCTTAACATTTATTCACATAATGTTAACTGTTTTTTTTTTTTTTTTTGTCTAAATTATTGTGTGATGCAATTACCAATGAAAGCTGACTTTTGAATATGTTTCCAACATTGTAAAATCAAGTCTAAAAAGCTAAAGGCCAGCTATCCTGGGTTGCAGACATTCACTGTAGGCTGCAATGTTAATTGTGTTCCATGACAATCTCATGACAATCCCATCGGCTATTGACCTGACGATGATGTAGCCTCTGGGGACAACATCTAATATCTCAGGGTTCAAGTGTAGCCAGCTGATATACAGATAAAGGATATCAAAGCCAAAACGTCCTCTCCTGTGTGCTGGTCATTGTTTACAGTCCAGTTAGCAATCTTGGCTGTTGGTCTGAAGATGGTTTATAAGCAGATATTTAAAAAAAGCTAGGAAAAAAATCATCATCAGACCATAGCTTGTGGGTTTGGAGACTTAATTTTGTTCTCCACTCTTAATGTTTACCTTCATGCCATCAAAGCCTGCACAAACATAACTGGTCAATACTACTTGAACTAGTAACAGAAACCTGAACGCCTCAGATAACGAAATGTCTGGTTGCTTACAGAGTCTTCATACATATGCAGATATCTGTTTAGAGAGATTAGTTCCATGATAATAGCCATGGGAGAAAGGGAGCTTGTCCTAAGGGTGGCGCTGGAGGGAGGACAACTAAAACCAAAAGAGTTTATCCCCTCAGGAGCATGAATGAGGAGAGCAATTTTAATAAAAATCCGCTCAGTAGATATGCAGAAGCTTGTGTGTAAAGGTCACATTCTGGCTCGTGGGTTGCACCAGAGGAAAGCTAATGGAGTGTCCATAAAATGGCTTTTCCTGAACCTGAATATCAGCCCTCCAGACTTGTGAACATCAGTCATAAGAATTGTAAGTGCTCTCCATTATCACATCACTTCTACACCAGTGCTGGTCTGTGGATGATCAAACAGGCTATTGTATGGTTTTACACACCTTACTTGTAGCCATGGATATGACCAGTGCCTGGACCTTGACCCTGTAACAATTCAGAATGAGTATTTTCTGAGCTGTAGTCCTATCCAGATTGGTAACGTTTGCTAGAGATGTTAAAAGTATTCTTTTTTAGATGTGTCATAGATGAAAATAAGGCACACTCAAACTTTTATGTCACATTATATAACTATATTAACACTGCTAGTATTATTCTGCCATGAAAGCCTGAGCTGAAGATCCTCACTATAGATGGCCGTATCTTTGTCATCGTAGAATGAAAATGTTTGTCTGCCATACCAATTATGATAGAAATCTATGTCACCATGAACTTTTTACAGACTGGTTGCTGCAGATGATTCTGGGACGTGTGTTTCTCAAAATCTAAAATTATTGAGATTTCATACCCAACAGCTCCACAGAGCTTTCAAGCCCCCTTCAGCTCTTGCTTTGGTTTTAGATTTACCGTATGGTCTCACACCATCTTCCCGTGGGTAGCCTTTTGTAGCAAAAATGCTCTGATGCTCTCTGAACATCGTCGAGGAGCTAAATACTCAGATATGTATCTCAGGAGTTGGTTAAAAACAAAAAAACAGACTAACAGACCAGTGAATATTATAATTAACATTCGTCAGGTGGCCTGAAACATGATTCCAAATGAATGCTAATGTTGCTCCATGTCTGCTGTATAAGTTGGCTACTACTCCAGAGACCAAAGATTAATTACAAGCAGCTCCAAGGAGATTGGACCACCTGCTGGTTTGGGTTTTTTTTAGCTGTCAAAGTTTTCTTGAATTTTAAAATCATGTTTGGCTTAGTTTTTTCTGGGCTGTGACAAACAGGTACGTGTAATATCATGTTTGTACTTTGGCAAGCAGATTGTTGCAGCTACACAGCTGACACATTTGTCAACGTGCCTGAAGGGATTTTTAAAGTGGTTTTGTATGAGGTACTTACCCATACACACTTATTACCTACAGTAGATGGTATTCAGCACACCCCCAGTTTGGAAAAACAGGAAGTTATACTGCCACAACTGTACTGCTGTGAACAGGAGCAGCAGCAAAAACATATTACACCAGAAAAATCAATATCAGTGTAAGTGTACACTATATTTAGAATATTTTCACTGCTTTACCTTGCTGTCAGACAGCCCTCAACACTCACTGGTCATTTTATTAGGTACACCAGTAACTGCTCATTAACGCAAAGCTTATCAGCCAATCACGTGGCAGCAACTCAATGCATTTACAGTAGGCATGTAGATATGGTCAAGACGACCTGCTGAAGTTCAAACCGAGCATCAGAACGGGGAAGAAAGGTGATTTAAGTGACTTAAAAGGTGACATCTCTAGGGTTTGCAGGGGATGGTCCGAAACAGAGAAAATATCCAGTCAGCGGCAGTTCTCTGGGTGAAAATGCCTTGTTGATGCCAGAGGTCAGAGGAGCATGGCCAGACTGGTTCAAGATGATAGAAAGGCAACAGTAACTCAAATAACCACTTGTTACAACCAAGGTCTGCAGAAGACCATCTCTGAACCAACAACAGATGGGCTAGAGCAGCAGTAGCAGCAGCTGTCAGCTAAGAAGAAACTGAGGCTACAATTCACATGGGACAAAACTGGACAACAGAACATTGGAAAAACGTTGCCTGGTCTGATGAGTCTCGATTTCTGCTGCGACATTCGTATGGCAGGGTCAGAATTTAGTGTAAGCAACATGAAAGCATGGATCCATCCTGCCTTGTATCAACGGTTCAGGCTGGTGGTGGTGGTGTAATGGTGTGGGGGAGATTTTCTTGGCACACTTTGGGCCCCTTAGTACCAACTGAGCATGGTTTAAACACCACAGCCTGCCTGAGTATTGTTGCTGACCGTGTCCATCCCTTTATGACTACAGTGTACCCATCTTCTGATGGCTACTTCCAGCAGGATAACGCACCATGTCACAAAGCTCAAATCATCTCAAACTGGTTTCTTGAACATGACAATGAGTTCACTGTACTCCATTGGCCTCCACAGTCACCAGATCTCAATCCAAGAGAGCACCTCTGGGAAGTTATGGAAGAGGAGATTTGCATCATGTATGTGCAGCTGACAAATCTGCAGCAGCTGCATGATGCTATCATGTCAATGTGGAAGAAAATCTCTGAGGAATGTTTCCACCATCTTGTTGAATTCTATGCCACGAAGAATTACAGCAGTTCTGAGGGCAAAAGAGGGTCCAACCCAGTATTAGCAGGGTGTACCTAATTAAGTGTCCGCTGAGTGTATGCT